AAACTGCTGAAATTTGGAGGCATTTCGTTCTACAGACCATTTTTCTCGCAATCTTAACGGATATTGGCACTTATCTTACTGTACTAGGTCACGATGTGCCGAGTTTTATCATGGGTACAGACGTGTCGCCTGGTGAGTAGTTTTCCAGTGAATTACTTCTTCATTCTTTCATGGTCCACCTAAAAGAGGAAGGGGCAAGCTACTACATGGCAGGACTCAGTGGTGGATTAGATTCGATGGAACAGAAGAGGGTTGCAAAACAACCAAACTAAGAGAAGTAACGACTTTCTAGCGGATACAAAAAATCCTATCGAGGAATGGGATTCTCGGTTTTTTTGTTGAATTGTATTAGTTCATCAATGGATAGTTTATAAAGTTAGCTGGTTTCAAAGACTTGATTGTGTCGTAACAGTGGTGCTGATAACCTTGGGGAGAGGAGTTCAAGGGTAGGTTAGAGGATTTTGTAACAAATCAGCCATAATAAGCATAAGATTACTGCACTCGAGGTTGACTCACCCACGCAAGAAGTCCTTCACCTCTCAGGCAATCCGAAAAATTTTGTGCGCTTCCAATGGGACTCTGCGACCTTACAAATGAGTGCCTCAGGAGCACGAAAAGTCTTGAGTCTGCTCTCTTATAACTGTCTATCTGATTTTTTGGCGCTTTATTGGTATCTTATGTTTCGATTTTTCATATTTTATGCTTTTACGCACATGTAGTTAAGCAAATCAAGCCATTTCTGACACTTGTCTGAATGACTCCAATTTTCGTGGTTTTCCACGAACTAATCCATTGAAAGGCGTAGATAGTGTAGTAGCAGTGAAACGCTAACACGCGCGATCAGGGCGTCGAATCCCGGCTCGGCTCCCATCACGCCATCCACGCTTTCTACCCTCGAAGGATGGTGAATTGCCAGCAGACTATTGTCGAAGAATGTGTGCATTTGCTCCTCGCAACTCACTGTACAGTATCACTGAATAAGGCACTGCGATTCCGAACAAGAAATCTTGCATGCCACGTCTAGAAGCCAATGATCAACAGGAAAAATTTATCCCTCCATATAGCTTACATAGGTGGCAGTATGCTTCGAAGCTACTCTTATAATTATGTGAAGATTGAAATTATTTTGTGACGTATGTGAACCGATTTCACCTCAGAACACTTCAGACCCTCTCCTGACGTATTTCATAGTAGCGGTTATAACTATCCAGTGGTTCACACAACTCTTTGTACTGCTGGTTCTTTCGGTCATTCATGCCTTGGCCGTCTTCACTCCGACTCAATTCCGCACCTTCTCTTCTGGGAACATAAAAGTAATCAATGCAGTCATTATGCTTGCTGTTCTTCTATTGACAGGTTAGATTTCTACTTGATGTTACTTTTACCTGTCTTATTTTCTGAAGTGCACATAGATAACCTCGTTATCCGGGCAGTTGATTAGGGCGGTCGCGTCATTGCCAGGAACTATTTGCTTTTTCCAGGCTAATTTAGTCATTTTTTCCAACTTTTCACTGTTTTGGCTACTTTTTCCCAGATTAGCAGCTCCTTATCTTCACAAGGTGGAAAATGACTAAATTAGCCTGGAAAAGCAAATAGTTCCTGGCACGCGCTGCGGCCCGTTGACGACCGCCCTAATCAACTGCCCGGATGACGAGGGTAGACACTAGGAGTTTTTTTGATGTCCTAAGACTCCTCAACAAGAAACTTGTTTTTTTAATAGGCCTGATAGTTTTGTTTTCTCAGTGCCACATCTTACACCCTGGACCGGTTACTACTACTCTACTGAAGGTATTACTGGAGCTGGGACTTCGGAAAACCATATACTTACATATATGTGAAATGCAATCTGGTTTTACAGGTTAGTAGAAGTATTCGGATAATCAGGTCTACAATTATATTTTTTCACTAGTACATCCTTCCCATTTGACACAATAAAAAGAAGAAAATCGTGAGTGGGAGACAGACTGGTAGGTCTGACTCCACCCACATAATCAACATTTGACGCGTTTCAGAATGAATGGTCAGAAATAAATGAGTTATTCACAGCAACTGGTGAAGTCTGAGCGAGGTGAAAAGTAGCTCTTTTTCATTGTCTGTTCAAAGCGCACAGCGATTGTAATCAGAAACCTCAGAGCGTTCAAAGCCCTGTAGAGAAAAGAGCCTCCTATCTCCAGATTCTGTCCCTTTGGTAATATTTTTGAATTGAGATTGAGTTGTGCATCGATCCTATTGGCAACATTTTATAAACTAATGGAACGCAGTCGGCTCTTGGAAGATAGCTCATTCTGGTTTTTGGTGCTGAACCTACATCTAGCCTTGCACCGCTCAGCGTTACCCTTTCCTCTTTGCAAGAAATTATCAGTTTCCAAAGAGTAAAGGTGGTGCGGTGGTAAGGAGCTGGCTTACCAAGGGCGATTCAGAGGTAAGATCCCGTGTCTCCCATACAGTCCGGAGGCCTCTCTTTTTTGGGATTGGTAAATTGGTAGCAGACGCATCTGGGACAGAGGGGATAAGGACGTTAACCTGTGGATGGGCTCGACACGCATCATTGTATGGACCACTGCATAGTATTCATTGAGGTACTGAGATGCTGATGGAAGTAGAATGTACGAGCGCACCAAAAACAGAGATTCATCACTGGCGAAGATCTCCTATCCACGGTCATCATGTGTTTCCCATCAGCAGGCCAAGAATGATCGGCGTTGATCACGCGACAGCAATCTACAAGGATCACTGCCAGGCTTTCTCCTAGCGTTACTCTTGCTCGTCGCAGTTCCGCTGTTTATATGAGATGCCATCACTTTCTCGTATCAAAGGCCTCATCAGCCATGGCCTTCACTTCAGCAACGTCCTTCTCCATGACATCCTTCTATCTCTTCTGCGCGGCTCTTCAACCCATTCGTGACAATGTCCGCCACTGGTGGTGGACACCGAAATGTCCACTTCGGACCATGTCCACCATATGTGGCGGACGGGCTTTTGATGAAATTTTTAGAAACAGTTCGAGTTCTTCGAGGAACTTTTCCCAGTGGTACAAGTCTTCATACCTTTGTTAATTTATGCAAATAGTGGACCAACGAGATTTCAGATATAAGAGTCTCAGGCAATAGCAGCACCCGACCCAAAACCTCTAGAAAGATTCCTGCTGAAAAATTGCCGGTAGGGGTTACTCAGTACCCCGATCGCGAATGCGACGTCCGCTTCTTGCCATTTGGCACCATTAGGTGATAATTTGGCGCCACCACTTTTTCATCAAACCGGGGCGCCAGAATGGTGCCGCACCAACTCACCACTACCTTTTTCACCAAACTTCAGGAAAAGTTACATACTAGGGCTTTTTGTTGGTCTGGTCACGATGACTTCACTACACAGCACCAACTGGCGCCAATGGGCGCCAATTTGTGCTATCACCTCTCCCACCTAAACTGGATACTAGGGTTATTCGCTGTCCTTATTATTGATATGACATTCATTTTTAGCAGGAACGTTAGCGTAGGGCACAAGGGTTATCAATGCGATGCTGAGGCTGAGCTTGCCTTAGGAGGAGGAATCACTCCTCCTCCAAGCTACAGCCTTTTCAGAGCGCTATATGGCGCTAATGCCATGAAGCTCATGCCGCTACATGACGTTCTGCAAAGGTAAAAACCAATGCCTTATTTGTGATCGGAGTTCCCACTAGGCCGACTTTCGACCAACTTTCTTTTTATGTGGACAGACTTGGCTTAGCAGTCGTTTCCTGAGTTGGTTTGACCTTTTGAACACGAGTACCACTTCCGCTCGGCTCAAAACCTCCTTGCCACCAGGAGGTTTTGAGCCACCTCAATATGTCAAATCACCTCAATATGCAAGCTTACACGGGTTTTCGAGGGAAAGACTGTAGCACTAAATTAGCGCACATTGGCGCCAAAAGCATCGGAGGACAGACGAATGTCACTTTATCACTGTCACTTTATGGGCTGAGCAATAACCAGAGCACTCGATGGTTCAGTAAAAAAGGAGATTTCGGGAGCAGAAACGAACAGTGCTAAAATTTTTGGTAAGGGGTCACGAGGGACCGTGTCCACCACTGGTGGCGGACACTTGCTGAGAGCTCGCAAATGCTCCGGTCCGAACGAGCCGTTTTCGAAAAACGCGCCTGGTCGCGAATGGGTTAAAGGCTTCATCATTCAGCGCTTTCCTTTTCCTATAAATTGTGAGTCTACTTTGTAGTTCCCAGCAGCTGCTCTCGTGCTCTCAATTGGACAGGGGGTCTTTGTAGGACCGCTTTTCGTTTCTGTCTCTATTCAGCCTTGTACTAATTTCATTTAATCCTTTCGAAAGGAGTACAGTCGTTTGTGCCGATGTGTATTCTCAGAATAGAGAGAAAGTTGCGGCTTTGTGAGCTGCGCCAAGACGGATTGTCGCCGCGTACTGGCAGACCTTGTAATTTTTGCTGCACTATCTGTTCCCCTCTACCTCTTCGCTTAGCCCTTTCCATTTCATTCTTCCTGATTCATAGTATACTCTATAATTCACCATGCTACGGTGATTTCCTTGAGTTTCCTCACTTACTCTTGGGTGCCGGAACTATTCCAGAGAGAGCGGAATAATAACCGCGTGTTCAGACTTTCTCCGCGCCCGAACATAGAGAAAGATGAATGCACTTCCATTCATTCAGAAACTATACTAAGCTCGGATAGCTTTTACATCAATGACATTCCTTCTAATTCTTTCACAGGGAGTGTGCGTGATCACAGTGATTTGTGTTGATGTTATGATCGTATATAGACTTCGCAAAATTCGCATCCGATTGACAGGGCCGAATACGAAGGTCTTCTACAACAGCGTCAGTGTCACAATCAGTAAGTGTTCCCCACTATTTAACGTTTTATACTTTGTTCTTCCGATTTATGGTTCATCCAGTCTTTGCGCGAACGAAAAATCAGCGCACGTTGGGCGTAAGCGTGGAGGCAATCAACAGTTGGGTTTCAGTGCACTTTTGTTTCCTATTTTTCCTGGGAATGAAGAGCGCTGCAACAAGAGAAGCATTAGCTTTCCTTGCGGAATGCCAGCTGGTTAGCCTTACTAAGCCTCTTATACCGTTAGACGTTAACCGCGTCTTCACAAATTGCAGCATAAAGTGCATTAGTTTAGCCATCTGTCCAGGAAGCGCATCTCAGCAGTGAAATGCAACTTGCCGTCAACTACATGTTACTGAGCGCCTGCTTCTTGGTTATGACAACATTCTTTAACCTTAAAATGTAAGTTCATAAACGACACTGTTGATTCTTGTTAAGAACGGAATTAGAAGGACAATGAAAGGTGAAGCAAAACATGGAAACAAGATCGCATTGAAGGCTACAACGATGAGCTTTGCTGAAATGATGCAGGTGTATTGTATTGACTGTCCTTCAGAAATCTGTTCCACCATTGCAAATTCCAAGACATGCGGATCAGAACGGAGCGATAGCTTATTTACAAGTGATGACAAAGTGGAAGTGCCCATCAAAAAACTCAACAAAGTCTGCTCAATTTTCAGCATTGACCAAGTGGACCAGATACCACGTGGAAAGGTAACGAGTGGACATAGACCTACCAGCTGTAAAAGAGCGGAACTAGGCGCAGCTATAGAGTCGCTACGTAGGCGGAACCCATTCGAAGAAGAGTCATCTGAATTAAAACTTAGGTTCTTTCGTTATAACTGTGTTTCTCAAGCTGGGACAATGATGAGGTTAAAGACCTTTTCATCACTGGCTGGGGAATCCGTCTAGTAATCGTGAAATGTGTCGTTGAGTCTTTTATGAGTTAACATGTTCCGTGATCTAATCATTTGCTTTTAGAGATGCTTTATTATACGGCTTTCTAACGAAACTCTCCTACATCCTCAATCTCGCTAAATGGTCGGTCTATATCCTTGGCAATGAGTCCATAAGAAGAAAACTTCTATCACTGCTTAGATGTGGCAAAGGCAATGCCTCAACAAGTACATCCCATGTAGCTTCATATGTGAATAGTCAGAAAGTATTCCAAGGAAGACGTTCAATGGGGTTCAATGGTGCGACTAGAAAATTATGATAGAGGATTGCAAAATTTTGATCCGCTATTACGACCACACAGTCGATCTTAAAAGCCCAAAGTGTTTCAAAGAGCATGGTTCGCAAACTACAAGACTAGGCTTCCTATTCTGCTGCACTACTGCAGGAATGAGGCGAATTGGAGCTGTAATCGTAGCGAAATTTTGTCGTGATGCTGTGTAAGGAGAATTAAGTTAGTTCCTCATCAGAGCTCCCATAGTTTTGAAATGGTGAATCTATCCATTATCGTCGAGCCACGATCCTTCACTATTCACATGATCTGAAGCACCTGCATCATTTTCAAAGTTGGTTCATTTGCGGGCAAGTGTCGAAAAAAACTAGCTGTTCAACTGGTAGAGAAACCTAATACGGTTTTTTATTTGGCTTCAATTGCTCGCAACGCTTATCGACAGGCGCGGATTCTAGGGCAGCTCCACCTAAGATTATAGCCAACGTGTCTCGAGTAATTTTAGCTCATTCGCATACCCGTGTCGTCTGTCTCGTCTGCCCCTCCCCTATACAGCCGTTTGCACTCTTGTGTCCTCGTCCGTGTCCGTATCCTATCGTAACATGTGAATACGTCACCATTTTTGATCGCTGTTATTTGTTGGAACGCCTTTTTGCTTTTGTTTTGTTCCATTGTTCTAGAATGCGTACGGAAACTTTTCCAATAAATCTAAACTGAAATTGTCGGCAGGTGATCAGCAAAGACAAAGCGTGCAAGTGACGCTTATCATCTTATGCATTACCTGCCTTCTAGACCTGGCAGTTCTCACGAACGTAGTCCATGTTTTCCTTACTTAACTACCTTTGTCGATTCGTGATCTCCAGTTGTAAAGAAACTGCAGAAGTGCTCTTTGGCTTACTTGCGCCTCAACACATACACTGCTCAATTACTTCACGATGGGCTACTTGCTTCCAGGTGGGCACATATCGCTACAACATTGTATAATTGTACAACTCGACAAAAATATGATACAAGTTTTGGAAAGTGGGGCCTTGAAGGACCAGTGGTGGTCGTAATATTATTGCCTGTGCATGCACGTGCACCCCATGTTCCCTCTCAAACACCTCCCAACACAGTGACAAAACTGGTTTGATATTTATCTAACTTAGTAATTTTCCGATGATCTTTCTTTACAAACAGTAGACGCTCAAGAAAGTGCAACTTCAATGTTTTATGTAATATCTGAAATACCTGCACAAATGGCGAGTCATATAGAACGAAAGAATTCTTGTTCACCACTCGCTCTTCTCCTTTGCCATAACTTATTTAGGATTCCATGTAGGTTAGGAAGTACAGTAAAAAATAAAGAAGACGTAAATCGGATACCATTGCATTGGACTTTAAGTTCAGAGCACTCATTTACCAAATGAAATATTAGGTTGATCAAAAAAGTTTTGATAGGGCTTTTTGAAAGTTTCAGAGTTTTTGATTCTTGGTCGATACCAATGATCCACCGTGTGGTAGTGGTAGAACTCTAGAAGCTTTTCCGTAATGGGGATATATAGGCGCGCTTCCTAATTTAGCTCCAATCGCCATGTCAATTCCACGAAACCATGTCCGAAACATCATCTTCTACGAGTGGCGCCGCGGCACCGGGCGACGGCAACCGTTTGCAACATTAACAGCGTATGGAGAGAGGACACCACTTCCATCGCTGCGGTCCATCGCTGGTTCACTCGCTTCAAGGAAGGAGGCACGGACTTCGAAGACAACTTCGGGACGCCCCTCACCGTCGACGACTCCGTCATTTTCGACGCCTCAAAGAGGACCCGGAAGTTAACACCCACAGTCTTGCGACGAGACTTGGGTGTGTCCAGTCAACAGTCGTCGGTCGCCTTCAAGCCCTCGGCTGCAGAAAAGTTCTGACTCGATGGATACCTCGTGTCTTGACCGACAGCATGCGGTACATCCGGGTATCCATTTGTCAGTCTTCCTTTGCTGCTTCTGAGATTCGAAAAGATACTTTACTACGAACTGCTCAAGCAATACCACCGTTCACTAATACGCTAGTCAGCTGCAGAAAGGGCGGAAGCCGTTTGAGAAAAACGGCCTGGACGAAATTTTGTGCACCTCCTCCACGACAACGCTAGTCACATAGGTAACGAGACCCGTGCAAAATTGGAGGAGCTAGGCTGGGACACGGTTCCACATCCACCCTATTCACCTGATATTGCCTTCTCAGATTATTACTCGTTTCAGCCCCATAAGGCTTTCCTAGAAAAAAAAACGATCCGTCAACTATGACCACATTGAACAAGTGGTCGGTGACTCTTTTGTCTCCCAATCTCCCCAGATCTGCGAGAAGGGAATCGTTGACCCGCCCGTTAGGTGGAACAATGTTATGACTGACGATGATTATCATATTGTTGATTAGCTTGCATTGTTTGCTGAATGTAAAATAAAACAGATAACCCTATCAAACTTCTTGATCAATATGAATTGTACGAGCGTTCCACCTATGAGAATGAGCCGTGGCATTTTATGAAAGTCGGTTCTTCTTACAAGACGAGCCAGTAAAGGGGGGAGGGATCTTCCAAATCCTTTGAAGCTCATTAGAACATTTGGTGTGTGATGACTTGTGTAACAACGGGCCTAACGCGACATCGTCAGCTATAAGGCCGCACTGCTCCAATCAGACAAGCTGATGCTCGTCCAGAAATCGCCACATTCCTTGCCGGAGAAGCACCGTGTGCGGAGAACTCTTCACCTGCGATTCTCTTGCAACTTTGCCGAAAAAAACAAGGAGGACTATTGGTGCAGAAAGCAAATCAACGATTGACAAACACTTTCCTCCATTGCCAATCCTGAATATATCGTAGTAAGTGACTAGCATTTACATTCGAAAGTCTCTGAAATGTGTAGGCACGGCTGTGTAAATAAACTAAACGTGGCGGCTACTGTGCAGTTGGATAAACATTTTCATTATGAGGACAATTGTGGTCATGTCTTTGTCCAACCAGAACAACATGACAGCTGTCTCATATTGAAATATTCCACGAGTAACCCACCCTAGCCCTCAGATGCCACGCCTATTCCTTCTCAGGGATACGGAGTGTAAAAAAAGCATACAATCCTGTCAAGAGCTCCTGAATGAGAATTGCTTGATTTTCAGCGCACAGAGTCGCGATAGATCAGGCAACCGAGGAATAAAGGAGGAAGGGCTGTGAGGAAGACAAGCAAGAAAGATGGATATCGGCTAGAGGATACCCAGGAAGGAGTAATCAGGGTCTCGCAGGAAACCGCAGCGGTAATAATTATAGTTTAACCAGGCAGAAGACAAATGTTCAAAGTGCTCACTATTTGGGGGCCAGAGCAGAAAATCTTCCGATAAGAAGCCGGACATCTCATCGATCAGGCTATGCCGGCATACTGGTAGGAAATGTGGCTTTCTAGTTTCTGTTCTCCCAGATGAAGTTGGGGTTATTTCTTGCGACGATACCGATAAAGATGGATGGCTCGTTTTTCGTGGGTGGACAGCTTTAGGGAGGCCACAAGAAAAAGTTAGATTTCATGCTTATCTAGTAAAGAATGATAGTCACAGAATACTCCGTCTGTGCTGCACATTCAAAGCCGTTCAAGTGAGAGTTGTGCTGCCGTCAAAGCATAACTTCCGTATTTACTTCTCTCTACAGTGTGACACAGATTACGTCAATTACAGTAGCGAGAAAAAACTGGCTGATGCCGTTGGACTCCAGAAATTTCAGCACTATTGAAGTATTCCTACCCCAAGAACACTCGAAAAAAATTTTTTCGCTGAAACGTTGCCTATAAATGTAATTCGATGCGCTGATCACAAATATATCATCCGTTTCGAGCGCTGGCGTCATTTGGCACCATTATGCGCCAATTTGGCGCCCACCACTTTTTTTGCCAAAGTTGATAAAAACTTGCAGATGGCGGTTAATTGAAGCCCTAATCACGAATATCACACTGGTTTCAAGCGCTGGCGCCACTGGCTGCCATTATGCTCCAATATGGCGCAAAATTGGCGCGTAATGGCGCCAAAAAAGCGCCAGCGCCGAAAATGAATGTTGTGTTCGTATCAGGACCCCAATTAACCCCCATATGCAAGTTTTCATCAACTTTGGTGAAAAAAGTGTGTATTGGCGCAAATGACGTCAGCATTGGCGCATAATGGCGGCAATTCTGACGCCAAATGGACGTCAAGCGCTCGAAAACCGAATGTGATATCCGTTGATCAGGCATCGATACTAAAAGGCAACTTTCTGAGATAAAAATTTTTTTTGACTGTTCTGGGGTAGGAATGGTTCAATAGTGCCGAAATTTCGTCTTCGAGCTTATTTTCAAATTGCCTAAGCCACCAAATTCACTAAAAACTTGCATATAGGGGTAATTCAGCATCCCGATTACACTCATTGTTGGCACTGGGACACTACGATTACCTCCTAGGCTCAGCCTTAGCAGAGGCGCAAGGTTTACAGTACAGTGGGTCTTCCCCAATCCCCACCCTAGCGCCAGCGCCAAAAATTAATCGCGACATGGTGAGCTTAATGACGTTTATCCTATTCGGCTAACGCGAGCACCCAACAACACACTCAAACACCCGTCAAACTTGCCCGACTGTTCCTCTCCTCTTGCCTCTACATTTTTATGACGATCTTCAGTCTCGCGTTTTTCCCGTAGCCTTGCAAACCTTGAAAACAAATTCAATATGAAAGTGGTGACTGAG